GAAGAGATATTTGAATTCTTCCCTCTTCCTGCACCGTGGACCTGGTCAGAGCACCCCTTTCCTATCGCTGTTTTTGGGAGAAAAAAGACAGGTGTCCTTATCAGAGCATCCAACACCCTAGTTTGTTGTACCCTTAATCTGAGATGGGGGTACATCCTGAACTATCAAGATAGACCTGTTTAAAAACGGGTACGACTGCACTGATTTCCTTCAAGCGATGGGGTTGTCAGCAGTGTTCCCTCTAAGCTGAGTTAGTGTGAGCTAGCTCACAGGTTTTTTAGCCTCCGGCTCACACATTTTTTGTCTCCGCTCAGGAAGGAGGGCTCCAAAGCAAACTGATTTATGCAGCAGCCAAATCGCTCGCTCACAACTTCAATTCCAGTGGCTCACAAAGTAGAATTTTTGCTCACAGGACTCCACAGCTTAGAGGGAACATTGGTTGTCAGGTGGCTAGATCCAGGTTGGGAAACTCCTGGAGATTTGGGGAGGGCAGGGACCTCAGTGGGGTACAGTGCCACAGAGTCCACTCTCCAAAGCATCCATTTTCGGCAGAAGAGTTCATGTCTGTAGGCTGAAGATGGCCTGTAATTCCAGGGGATCCCCAGGTCCTACCTGAAGGATGGCATTAGAGCGCGGACTCTAATCTGGGAGAAGCAGGTTTGATTCCCCACTCTTCCACGTGCAGCTGCTGGTGTGACCTTAGGTCAGTGACCTAAGAGCTGTTCTCTCAAGAGCAGTCCTCGAAAGAGCTCTCTCTCAGCCCCGCCTACCTCACAGCCTGTCTGTTGTGGGGAGGGGAAAAGAAAAGAGAATGTAAGCTGCTCTCCTTTGGGTAGTGAAGGGTGGGGTATTATCCAATCTCCTCTTCTTCTATCTCTGAAACAGGAAGCTATAGTTTTGGGAAACTGTGCACACTTTTCCGATTGGCCCCTTCACAGACCAGTGTACCCAGCATGCTTTGGGGGAAGGAAGCCAGGGTGTTGGAACCCTTTACAGAGTGCCCCTATGCCCTTTGTCCACACTCATTCCAGGTTTTTGCTTTCCAGGTAACGAGACTGCAATGGTTCCGAACGGGGTGGAATGTTACAGCTGCCATGGCGAGGAGTGTTCCACGGACAATGCTACCATCGTCAAGTGCTACGATTCCTTCCGGGGTTGTTTCCATGGCAACATCACTATGAGAGCTGGTAAGATGACCGCCATTCACTTAGGCAAGCTCGAGTTCAGATCCTCCTAGAGGATCGATAAAGTTCGGCAAGAAAAAGAATGTCAAAGTTTGCAACTTGGTATGAACGATGTAAAGGGCCTACTGGAAACAGAGAGTTTCCTTTCCTTTTCCCCCTTTTATTCTCTTAGCAGCTCATTGATTAACAAACCTTGAGCAGCAGAAAATGCTCATTCCTCATTTTTCGGACGCAAGGGCTAAAAGGATTGAAATGATTTTTCCTATTGCCATAGTGATCTTAGGATCCTTATTCCTAAGCAAAGGAGACAGGTTGTAGGGGGAGGACTGATCAATTAGAAGCTTAATATAATGATCCCTTATATTCTCAAAGAACCCGCATCAAAGCAAAACATGACAAGATGTATCAATCCTATCGAGGCCACAAGGGCAAATTCTATCAGAATAAGGCCTATTCAGAAATCTCTCCTGTAGAGTCATTGAGGGTATGATATTCAGGGGTCATTTCGCAGAAAAAGAGCTAGGGGAACTCATTAGCACAACTCATTAGCATATGCCACACCCCCTGACATCACCGGAAGTGTGTCATAAGGCCACACCCCCTGACATCACCGGAAATGTGTCATAAGGCCACACACCCCGCCCCCAACGGTCCCG